GATCTATACACATTGTGAGTACACTAGGTGAAACATTTTTAGCGGAACATTGTGAATACTTATTGAAACACTCAACCAACACATATACAACATTTGCAAATAAACCAGTGAAACACAATAAACTACTTACTAAAACATACAAATAGCACCATGAGATACATTAAAGAAAGTTATATATATCGCGACACTAAATAAATGTGCAACATAATAGAATTTCAGCTGAAACATCTGATTCTCACATGTGAAATATTAAGTTTAATTGGTTGAAACATATGCGTGTTTTTTATTATAATATAGTTACGTGAGATCTGGTTACAAAGATTTAATTGTAACGAATATAATAGTGTAATCGGATCGTAGATTAAATGAGTAATCTAGAAGAAAATTATTTTCAAGTTTGCTAAAAGGGTGTTATGTACATGCAAATAACCTCGTGTCATCTCTTCTTCATGCATATTAATGCTCAGAAAGGAACCATATGTAACAGAGAGAGGATCTGACAAATGCTGCTGTAGCAAAGTCATAGTAAGAGATGTTCGATTTTTTTCTCCAAGATCGGACGACCGGATTGAATCATTTTCCTTTTTCTCGTCGACTGCGCATCACGATGGGATCCCGAGAAGCGTCCAGTCACGTGTCTACATTGTTTTTCTTTCCGTTGTAGCATGTGCCATTATTTTTTTCAGAGGAGGCGGAGAGGAGCATGCGCCTTTTTTTTCCGTCGCTACGTGTCGATGTACTTTTCTATGTTGGATCGCGTGTCTACGCTGGCTTCACCATCACCACTACGTATTTTTTAAGCAGTAGAGATTAATGTTAGATTGTTATCAATATTATCGATCACTATTTTTTGGCAGCTTGAAGAATAAATTAACTTCGTCACCAACTTTGACCTTTTTTTTTTAAGAGCAAGGGCTAAAAGCCTCCATTTCTATCTATATCTATATATACCAACTAGGAAGGTAGCCCGCGCATTCGCGCGGGCAAGTATTGTACATTCTGTTTGAAAAATATATATTATATTATATTATATTATATTATATATATATATATATATATATATATATATATATATATAGACACACACAAATATTATTTTTAAGACACATCAGGTGAGGCCTCCGCTGTTCATCGGTATTTTGCTTTGATAATTTTTCCTATATATTTGTTATGTTTTAAAATATATATTATTTAATACATATGTATAAATAATCATCTATGATCTTATTATTATATAGAAAGATGATCGATTCAGTTTGTTTGGAAAACGTGTCTAACAAATCAAGTGTAAATTAGAAATAAGGTGTTTTGTCATTTTTTTAATTGAATGTCTACTTGCTTTCTTAACAAATTCTAAAGAACTATTATTGTTAATAAATATGTTTTATCGGTACCATCAAGTAGTTCTCCTTCTAGTTGGTTTAAGATGATGCAAGTTGTTACATACTTATATATAAATTAATAAAGGCATGTCATATACCTCGCTTCCTCGTGATTTGTGTGACCTATACTATATTTTTCAAAAGAAAATACTTAGTTAATATGAATCCAAAATTTTAAATCTAATAGTAACAAATATAAGTTTTCAATGAACTATATATTGTGAACCTTTGTGTGGTTTATATGTGTAATAATATGTGGAGAAACTCATAATGCTATGATATAGGATAGATGTAAGGCCATTAATGTCTAAGCATTTTAAAATTATTATGAAAATGGAACATGCAATGGTTGGTCTAATTTTAGTGAATGGAAGAACCAATTTTTTACGAACTTATTACGTTTTCTCTAAATAGTTCAATTGACTCCCTATTGACATATTCTATTGCTTGCTTTATTTTATATTTTATACCAGTTCAAAATATAGGTTTTATGGATCTTTAAATCATTGGTTTAATTATAAATACAACAATATTTAGATTAGAAATAAGATGTGTAGCTTTAAATTTATGCATGTTTTAATATTTTTGATTATTTCTCGCTGTATAAACAGGAAGGGATAGAGTGGAGAGCTCAAGCCGAGAAGGGATGGGACGAGTAGTGTCGTGTTGTGAGTATGTGTAGGGGAGGGCGAAGTGGAGGGGTGGTTTTTTCTATTTTATCTAATGATTAAGACGTAACACATGGCAGCTTAAGATTTTCCTAAAAGTATATCTGATGGATCTACCTATTTGAGTGGAAACTGATGGTCAGATGGTTTTTCTTCCCATTCGTAAAGTTTTATTTTTATTTAAGGCGTAACACGTGACGTCTTAAGTGCGCTCAGAGGATGTACAATTATTTATGGTAATATAATACTTATTTTCATTTTGTATTATGTTGTCTTTTTTCTATTTGGCTACGATGCAAAGGAACAGTGTCTATGTTAAATGATGTATTTTCATTTTTATAGAGTGAAATATGGGTAACATGGATCTTAAATTATCTATTTAATTATAAATAAAACAAAAATTCAAATAAGTGAAAATTATTATTGAACTTAATAATTATAATCATTTAGCTTTCTAATTATTGATCTTTTTTTACTTAGTTAAAAATTAGGAGATAAAGGAATTAAATGAGAGATGAGAGGAAGAGAGAGTTTAAGGGAAGAGATTACGCGTGCATATAATTGTAATATTTCCTTTTATGGGGTTGTAGTGTCTTAGTTTCTATTGATTGATTAAAATATATCTTTTTTGCTTGTCTTTTCCAGTATATTCACAGTAGATATTAAAAATACGAACACTACAATCTAATAATGTTATATTGTAATAATGTTTTTTTGACTTATTCTAATGTTATACTGGGGGAGTAGTTTTTAAAACATACTTTTTTCCATATAGATCAAATTTAATTATTCCGAAGTCATATATGGTGATAAATTCTATGTAATTATCTTTCTATAATTTTATAATTGTTCGAAAAGCACACAAAAATTAGAAAATATAGCCCCAAAGTGACATATTTCTTCTCAAAGTTGATATTACAGTGGATATGGGTCTTTAAATGTAAAACAATCTAAAGACATAAGTTAATCAAATACTAGTTGTTTGATTTAGATGTTATAGTTGCTTATTTTTTACATAAGTTTTACTACCTAACTAACATACTTTGGAGACATTACTCATAATATATTCATTTTACTTTTACGATTGTCGACCTATTTTAATTATTACGAAGTTATGTATGATGAAAAAATCTGTATTATTATTATTATATTTTTTTTAGTTGCTTGAATGGTACGCAAAAGTCAGAAAATATAAACCAAAATGATATTTTTTAAGCTAAATAATAGTGAAATATGGTCTTCAACCATAAATTTAGTTATAAATAATCTAGAGATTTACGCGGATCATTAGTTGTATGATTTAGAAGATTAATTGTTTAACACAAAATTATTACTTATCTAACTAATAAAGCATGAAAAAAGGAGAAGGAATAGGTAAAAATGTGGAGATATGAATTGAAGGAAGAGGAGGCGTACATACGTCTGCTTGTTTTTTTCTAAAAAAAATTAACTTATACATACAGGCTTAGGTGGGCCTGGGTATAGGAGAGAAATGTTTTCTTGAAAATTAATCTAATGGTTGTAAATAATGTGTTCACCAAATTGTTTTAGAAATTTTAAAAAAATCACTAATTTATTAGAGTATCACGTGCCAACTTAGGAACGTTTGTAGGATGTCATATGGAGGATTATTTTTAAAAAGTTTAATGAACTTTTAGTTTATAATGGGTACATCTAATCTAGTATTCTAAAACATCGATAGGGTCTGCCAATTTAAATGAAAATCAATGGTGATATTTATGTAAATTTATAGAGTAAAATGTTTTATATCTTTAAATAATAGAAAATCCTATTTTAAATATCATCAATTTTTTCGCATGGTACTAACTACGTATGTTTTTTTTTCTTATTGATTTTATAGTAATTTTGTGCGTAGTTTTTTTTCTTCTGACACCAACAATTGGTAAGCTTCATTGGTTCCCTCGTTGTACGTACGTATGATGTTTCTCCTGTATACGTACGTATTAGAGTAAGGAATTAGTTTCTTTAAAATAAAATACATCTAATCTAATGGCCTAAAATATCGGGTCCACCGATTTAAGTGAAAATATAATCTAATGGTCTAAAATATTGGGTCCACCAATTTAAGTGAAAATCGACGGTTAGATTAGATAGAGCCACGTGGCGGCCTATGAGCGTTTCTAGGAGTCTCACGTGGCGGCTTGAGAGCGTTTATAGGAAGTTTAATGAACTTTATCTTTAAATAATAGAAAATCTTATTTTAAATATCATCAATTTTTTCGCATGGTACTAAGTACGTATGTTTTTTTTCTTATTGATTTTATAGTAATTTTGTGCGTAGTTTTTTTTTCTTCTGACGCCAACAATTGGTAAGCTTCATTGGTTCCCTCGTTGTACGTAGGTATGATGTTTCTCCTGTATACGTACGTATTAGAGTAAGGAATTAGTTTCTTTAAAATAAAATACATCTAATCTAATAGCCTAAAATATCGGGTCCACCGATTTAAGTGAAAATATAATCTAATGGTCTAAAATATTGGGTCCACCAATTTAAGTGAAAATCGACGGTTAGATTAGATAGAGCCACGTGGCGGCCTAGGAGCGTTTGTAGGAGTCTCACGTGGCGGCTTGAGAGCGTTTATAGGAAGTTTAATGGACTTTTAGTATATAATAGAAGATAGATAGATAGATAGATAGAAGATAATAGAAGATAGATAATAGAAGATAGATAGAAGATAGATAGATAGATAATAGATAGAAGATAGTAGAAGATAGATAGATAGATAATAGATAGATAGATAATAGATAGATAGAAGATAGATAGATAGAAGATAGATAGATAGATAGATAGATATAAAAAGTACCAGTTCATCCAACAACTCTCTCTCTCCTGACCCTTAGATCTGTTCATCCAACGGTTTATATCAAAAGTTGGATCAACCCCTGCAATTAGCGATTCTCACGTGGTACACAGCGCGGTTAGCGAAAAAAAAAGTGAAAAGAACCCACCGCCGCCGAAAAAAAAAAGGGAAAACCTATCCTCCTGCGCGGCGCCGCCCGCCGCTCGCCTCCTGCGCGCCCGCCGGCGCCGCTCCGCTCGCGTGGCTGCGCTCCCGATTTCCCTACCCCGCCGCTGCCTCGGATCGCCTGTGGCCGCCACCTCCCGTCGGAGCCGTCGTCGTTGCCGAGGAAGCGGGCCGCATCGCCGCCGCCGCCGCCTCCTACGCGCGTAACGCGCCCCCGCCCCACCGCCCCGCATCCCCCCTTCCCTTGCTGACGGGTGCTGCACCGCGCCGGCGCCGGAACGGCGAGGTTCACATCCGTCCTGCTGCCTCCCCTCCCTTCTAGCCCTCCGCAGCCGCCGTCATCAACGTCCTCCGCGGCAACCGCACGTCGCCGGGTCCGCCGCCACCACTGGAACACCGCCCTTCCTCCAACCGCCCCTTCCAACCCCATCGCCCCCTCCTCAGCTGATCACCCCGCCGCCGCAGAAGGTTGTCAGGACGGCCGCCGGCGAGGCTTCCCGCTCCTCCATCCTGTTCAGGTCAGCGGGCAGGCCGTGCTACACGTTCTTCGCTTCGCCGACGATGGTGGTCAAGCAGGTAATCATCCATTGCTTCCCCCTTCCTCTTCTTCAACAATCGCCGCACGGTTCTGGAACCAACCCAAATGCAGGGCAGACTTGATTCCTGCTGCTGTTGTGATTTGTGAATAATGATAATACATCTGACTATCTGAGAATAGCGAAGTGACCTTGGTAGAACTGTTGTTTTCCGTACCGATCATCTCCCTGGGATGAATCGCAGCATAGAAAGCTTGCCAGGCATCGTCATATCATCTGTGCTCATTTGCTTTGCTTCAGTTTACTGCAGCTAAGTTGTTTCTACATATTGTGACATCGATCTCGTTCTTGGCTCTGAGAATGGTACACCACTCATGAGTCATGATTGGCATATTCAGGAACTTAAATTGTCCATAAGGAAGCTTTACTAAGAAATAAAGAAAATCGCTCCATGATCTGATGATTGTTGAGGCTTGATAGGTCTGCTCTCTTTCTCACACTGAAACTAAAAAAAACCGCGTTGTTCCTATTTTCTGAATGTATGTGTCCACTATATTATCGACAAAGTAGACTATTTGATTACCTGGAACCCAAATCACAAATACTGGTATGCAATCTACATTTGGCCATAGGTTCAGTTCTTGCAGTTACTAATTTACTCCGTTGCAACTGAAACACTCACAGATTTTTAGTTGATTAGCATTTAGTCGTAAACTTAGAGGTATAATTGCTCAGCTGCTAAGATCTGTTTTATAGATCAGTTAATAATTAATTTCTTTTGGATTCAGCAGTAGTGCCAGACCGATTGGCATGACATGTTTGCCTCCATTCAGTAAAATTCATCTGAATTCAAAGTGTTCCAACTGTGGCGTTTTGCTTCTGAACAGCTCCCCAACTTGCACTTGATGCGATGGTTCTGTTTTGCTGCTAAAAGTCAGGTTCAATTGAATATCTTTTAATTTCAGAGCTGCAAGTACATCTTCAATTAAATAACTTTTCTTTTCCTTTTCATTTTCTGCTAAAAAGCTAGGTTCAATTGAATACCCTCTCCAACCTAATTTTCTATTTTCTCAGATGTATGTATCTATTAACTCAGAAATGAAGATGGCAGGATAGCCTAGGTTTGGAGACTATTTTTAGTTCACGACTTCATATATCACTCGCTTAGATTTTACTAATCTTAATTTGTTGATATGTGCAACCTAATTTTCTATTTTTTTTCAGATTTTTGTTCCTATTAACTCTGAAATGAACATGGCAGGATGACTTAGGTTCGGAGATTTTTTTTAGTTCAGTTCAGGGCTTCATGTAGCACTAGCTTAGATTTTACTAATCTCTATCGATATGTCCAACCTAATTTTCTTGTTCAGATTTTGCACCTATTAACTCTGAGATGAAACTGGTATGATGGCTTAGATTTGGAGATGTTTTTAATTCTGGACTTCATATACCAATCACTTAGATTTTACTAAATTTGGTTTATATTGTTACTAAAATATGTTGATACAGTGAGTCCTGAAGACTAAGCTGAAGATCACAAATCATCTACTGCCATAGGAGTAAAATAAACTATATTGCTCCATATTGCTCTATATTTGATTATATCAAGGTAGGTTTCCAAAAGGAAAACAATGGGTACTGTTTCTTTAGGGAATAAAAAAGCAGTGCTTTCTGCAGTTCCTATAGAAATAGCTCAATATATCTTATTGCCTCTGTCAGGCATTTCAATTCAGCTAAGATATAATATGTAGCATCCACAACAGGTTGAAACGAGCTGATTACTGACGGATGATCAGTGTCAAGTGAGCTATACAAAATATAATTTTCAATTCCAACAAATTGTGAAACTTTACCATTTAAATTTGCAGACAAACAAGTTACATATGTTATACATATACAGCTATGGCAATGTTATATGTTTGGATTAATTATTTTTTCCCATGTAAATCTAATAATGGCCTGGTATATATGGATGGTTGACAGCAGGGGAGAGCAGCAAAGCTGCTGCACCTGACCACTGCACATCTTTGGCTCTTCCTTTCTGACCACTCTAGGAGATGGATTACAAGCGAGGCAAGGGCTCCAGATCAATATCATCCAGAAGAAAGTAGTACTAATTTTAAAAAAAACTTGTTATTTTATATATTGCACTACTTATAATTTATAATTTACAGATGCCTAAATATATAGGATGTTGATTTATTAATGTTTTTATCACCGAACTACTCCCGAGCTAAATGCCAGAGAGGATGGATTTCTCAGCAATTGTCTCCACAATTCTGAAGCAGCGACCATACTTATAAAATAGTTCATGTATTGATAAATTGGATATATGTCAAAATGTTCACTGAGTTAAATGCTAGGAGCAAGTTGAATATATTAAAGTTTTCAAGGGAATCACATGGAACTATCTCTTGACAAAGCTTAATGTCAAGTTCATGTCATAATGCAAGCACTTATTATTTGAGTTCCTTGGGATGATCATGCCAACGGGTAGACTAAGCTGGCAGTTGTGGTTGGTCACAATAGGTTTTACTTTTTATTTTTAGTCTAAATTCAGTCTTCTAATGATTTATCATTTGCCCATCATTTTCTGATATTGCGTCCACAAAAACTGATATTCAGGTAGCTTTCTATGCCAAAGCAATTTCTAAAATTGATGTGCTTTTTACTATGTTTTTTTAGTTGGATATATTTTAGAAGTTGGATTTTACTGATATTTCATAAATATTTGTAGGTTTGATTTGAATTTAATTTTAATTTGACTACTGCAACAGGTTAAACTGAATAAATTGGATAAAAGGAGTGCCTTAGTCATCCGGAACTGTAAGTAAACCAAGTTTTCAAAATTTTCAGCTAGATGCGTTGTGTATTGTTGGCGATTCTGAATGTCTCTTCGATTTCCACTGCCCATTCAAGATATAATATAATGGATGGATTGAATCGCTTTGCTTATACTGTGTCCAATTGAAATGTGGTTTAATCCTTGGCCTTAATATGAAAGCTTGGCTTGGTACTATTGCTATACTATGAAATACTACTTTATAAAATAAGTTGCTTTTAGTATTCGTCCTCTTATCGGGCTGCAGTTTTCTTTTAAATTGAAGCTGGAGGACAACTCTGTTGATGACAATGCCATATTTTCTTTTTTTGTAATTTTCTCTATTATTTGGTTTTCATACATTCACACATATTTTTCTTGTGATCCATTCCTTCCAGAAAAACGAGGGATATAATAATATAGCACCTTCCAAACAGTATAAATAATCTCATCCATCTTTATTTTTCTTCATATTAGCTGAAATAGGGTGTACTCAATTCTTAGTGTAAAACCATGAATGTTTAACGTGCACACTTACTAGTCACCAGAAATGAAACAGAGTCTCTTACAGAAGTTTAGAAAGAAAAGAGAAGAGAAGAGCAGCTTACAGACTAAAAGACAGACAAGAGATATGGAACAGGACCAGTTTTTAAAGGCTACAGGAGAGCTTCAAACATCAAAGAGACAAAATGGCCTTCCATTAATCCGAAGCAAAAGAGCACTAAACAAACTAATCAGTAATCAGCAGATCATGCAGCACCACCAAAAAAAAAAAACAGCTCTTCCGAAGCCAGAGGTCTTCATCATTTCGGTCTTCTCGTCCCAGTGTACCATCCAAACTTTGAGTTGAAAATCTCACTTGCAACTTGTCTTATTATTCTGGCTCCCAGAAGCAACCCTTCTTGATTTGCCTCCGATTTCTGCAACACAGCCCACGTTTCAATCCAGTGACATGTCAAGAACACAACATCAATGGGATCGCAAGGGAGTTTATTTTCGAAGCATGCTCTATTTCTAGTTTTCCAGATTGCCCAGAACACAGCATCAATCCCCACCACTAACATTATTTTCATCTGTTTACCATAATTGTTTAACCAGGCCCCAAACATATGCTGCCTACTAAGAGTAGGCTTCAGATTGAGAGCACAAATCACAATGTTCCAGATTAATCTTGCAAGAAGGCAGTCAAAAAACAGGTGTTGGATAGTTTCTCCCCTATCACAAAATTGACACTTTGTGTTTCCTTTCCTCCACCCCTTTTGTGTAGGTTATCCTTAGTGAGGATTTTATTTTTGATGACCAACCAAATGAAAATTCTAATCTTCAAAGGCACTTTAAAATTCCAATGTTTTTTATGAGGGAAATCAACATTCTGTAAACTCAAAGCTCTGTGAAAAGATTTGACAGTGAAGTTTCCATGTTTAGTCAGAGTCCACCTAATTGTGTCTTCATTTCTGTCATCTGACTTCAGGGCCTCACAAGATTTTTTAATGTCACCCCAGGTTTTCAGTCTATCACCATACAAGGTCCTTTTGAATTTTATACAGTCCCAACCCAGATTTTTTACCTTAGCTAGAGTTATCTTTTTGGAAAAAGTCAGGTCATACAGATCTGGAAACTGTAGGTTCAGAGGCTTGCTGCCCAGCCAGCAATCTTCCCAAAACAAAATGTTTTTACCATTGCCCACAGTCTTTTTGCAGAAACTTAAAAAGAGATCTTTAATCTCCATAAGACCATGCAGAAGTGTGAATCCCCATTTTTTAAAGTAACCTTGACCTATATAATTTTTCACGAATCACACTCGTATTTTTCAAGGCACAACAATTGTACCCCGATCGGTCTTAAAATTGAACTTTAACTAGGTGAAACCTCGCGCATTACTGCGGGAATTTAGTATGATAACAATAAAAAAAATAACATGTAAGATAGCTAGATAACATCAGATTAAGTAAATTAATGTGATTTATGATAATTTAGATTTAAATAGTATGTAGAATGGTGATTCAAACGTAAAAAGTAAGGTGGTATGACTTTATGGAAGAAGAAAAGTAGAGAGATAGTTTGGACCGTAGATTAATAATCTAAAGGCTAAAAATAATTGATGTGATATGACTTAATTAGAGGAAAAAAGGAGAAAGATAATTTGGACCATAGATTAATCATTTAAGCACTAACTAAGTGATGATGAACTATATAAGTATATAGGATATCATAAAACAATAAAGATATATATTGAAACATTATGTGAATTATGTTGGATGATAATTTAACATGTTTGTATTTGAAAAACTATAAAAATATATCATGTTTGCATAATGTTTAAATGTGATGATTGTTAGTGAATGATGATGTGGCATCTTGTTAATTAGTGGATGATGATGTGGCATCTTTGCATATTAAGCTTAAGGAGTTAGTGGGGGATAACTTTATAGTAAGATTGAATTATGTTGGATGATAATTTAACATGTTTATATTTGAAAAACTATAAAGATATAGTATATTTGCATGATGTTTAAATGTGATGATTGTTAGTGGATGATGATGTGGCATCTTTGTATGTTAAGTTTAAGGAGTTAGTGGGGGATAACTCTATAGTAAGATAGGATTATAACATTAGTTCACCACTTGGACTAGCTTTGATAATTAATGTCCATCCTGCTTGCATGATTTTCCATTAGTTTACACAGAGAAAGGCAGGCAGCACCATGATAATTGCAGCCAAGCCCTCGCCTTTCAGACTTTCAGTGGAGCACTCTTGAGTCATGAATAGTTATCACCGACAGCTCTATTTAAATTAAGAAGGGCACCCATCATATAACAGGAAGATCAAGGGTCTCCGTTGGAGAGAAGATGTTTGAATGTTTGTCAACAAAAATTTTCTCAGTCTACCATGTTGACAGCGAATAATTCCGCTCATTCATTCTGCTCTCATGGACAGCAAACACTATCCATCCTTCTATGGTCAAATTCAAACTTTTACAAAGACCACAGGCCTACCAATCATGTGAACTCCTTTTCGTTGGGATGAGGCCAGAGTGCTCTAATTTAAATAAGGGAAAAAAATTTGTTCGACCCTACCTATATGAAACGTAAAATAATTAAATTCATAAAATCAAATATACGTATACATTTGTTCATTTAAAGCAATGAAATATATATTAAACATGCAATTTTATATATTTTTGTGCAAGTTTAGTGTATGCACCGTAATCTAGAGGACTTACAAATAAAAACACTTTTTTCTTTTTTTTTACGCATCATGTCTGTGTAAATTTTTGAAGAAATAACTAGAAGCTCTAGCACCCACTATAAAGTACTACTAGTAGGTAAGTGGAGTAGATTCATTGTACTAGTACTAGTTGTGCACATCAATGTCATTCTTAGGATTTCAATGCAAATATTCTAGCGTGCAAACCCCGCTGTTGAATTGGTTGGATTCTTTTACAATATTAATTCTTTAAAATCTTATTTTACAAATACACATCTTAGGAAAATTATTATAGAAATAGACCTCAAACACAATTCCTGAGTACATGGTGCTGAGATGGAAATTTTAAATATAATAGAATGAAACATATATGTAAACATACGTTGATTTAAAACTATGGATATATCTTACATATCGCGCCTTTTTGGTATCCCCCTTTTTGGTTTGCGTTGCCCCCTCCGTTCCCCACCTTTCTTAAGGCCAAGTAAACCAATTACTTGATCCCCACCTTTAACAAGGCCAACTGGCCAAGTAAAAAACAATTACTCACCGATTTGATTAATTGGGTGAAAAACCACGCTATTCTGTTTGGTGACAAAAATACACCTACAAATTATATATATACGGATCAAAAAATTATGACAAATACAAATTATACACGGTTCCATCCACAGTAACTCTTTTACTAAACCCATAAATATAACAAAGCTCATATTAGTACTTGTTTTACTAAATGGGATTTGTAATAAATTTTTTTTACTATCGCTAATTTATCAGTGTAATGTTTCGAGTTGCATGGACAAAGAAATTTTATTTTCATGACAACATGTGAAATTCAAATGATGGTGACTACTTTCTCCGTTTTATAATATATAAGTTATATATAAGTTGTTTTGACATTTTTTTAGTCTTTAACCAAATTTATAGAAAAATATAGTAGTATTTTTAACACAAAACAAACTTATTATTAAAATATATTCTATGCTAGATTTAATGAAAGTAATTTGATGTTTTAGATCTTGTTAAATTTTTTCATAAATTTAATCAAATTTAATAAAGTTTGAATAGGAAAAAAATTTCAAACGACCTATATTATGAAATGGTGGGAGTAGTTTACTCCATATGGGTAATATTACAGGACAATTAGAAAACAACTCCGGCGATCGAGCAGCCCAGGCTTCTCTTCTTTTTCCTTTTTTTTAACACTCCATTTCCGTGCAAATTAACTTTTGAAGAAAGCACTAGCTCTGGCAGCACTAGCGTCTACTGAGAAGTGAGAATTACTGTACTCACGGCCTCTTTAGATCCATCCCAAAATTTTTTACCCTGTCACATCGAACATTTGAACACCTGCATGAAATATTACATATATGTTAAAAATAAGTAATTGCACAGATTGTGACTAATTTGTGAGGCGAATTTTTCAAACCTAATTGCTCCATGATTTGACAATATGGTGCTACAGTAAATATTTGCTAATGACAGGTTAATTAGGCTTAATAAATTTGTCTCGTGGTTTACTAAATTCTCGTCTCGTAGTTTACTGACGAATTCTGTAATTAGTTTTTTTATTAGTGTCCGAACACCCATACGACACCCTATATAATACTCGATGTAACACGCTAAAACTTTACACCCTGGTCTAAACCAAGGTTGTCCGTATCCCAATTCGTATCTTGGTATCTTACGATACTACGATCCTTCCAAGCCGAAACGATACCGATCCCACCTAGTATCCTAATTTTTATAGTATCTCGATCCTACTATTCATTACTACACGATCCTACGAAATCTTAGGTGGTATTCCGATTCTACGAACCCTACGATACTACAAAATATTATTTAAAATAACATGGTTTGAAAATAATGTAACTAAATATGCTCAAATTTATATGAAAATCAATTAAATATATCAAAACCAATGTGGTTTCTCTTGATAAATGTCTCTATTTGCATGATATATATCATTACTACATTTTTTTATATAGAATAGCTATATATAATTAATATAAATTTTAATTAAACTTAATAAAAGAAAATTTCATAGTATCCCGATACTACGATCCAATATTACTTTGAGCAAAACGATAATACCTAGTATCCCGATACTGATAACCTTTGTCTAAACACCCCCTCCGTAGTGCACATCAGCGCCAGTCCTAGGAATATCATAGGATGATCCTAGCATGCATGCAAGCCCCGGTACCCACGGCAGCCGAGCCACAATGGACGCGCGTCCAATAATTTTTTTTATGTATAACTATTTAATTGGTTGGGTAATTAGCCTAAGTAATAATACTCCCTTCGTTGTTTTTTTGTTTGACGTCCAACGTACTGTAGAGAGATGTCGGTAGTGGACCCCCTCCAACACTCTTTTGAGCCTCCCCATATCTAAACGCAGACACCCTCATAAACGCTGATGTGACTACATAATTACTCCGGTCTATACTCTATAGCATTCCCCCGTAAACACGCCGTGCAAAGCTAACTAGCTAGTGCCAAGATCTACCCCCTCACTTGCATATCTACCATCCCATAATATTAGATTTGCTACAATGCCATCACTAAAATTGGCCTCGCTAGAATCCCACCCTTAACCAGAACTTCTTTGTCAAAATACCATCAGGAACGAAAATGCCCCTCCTTTCTTCATCCTCCAACGGCTCAAAATCTCGCCAGCACCAACCGCCAACTCCACCGCCGCACCACTAGTGCTGTCTCGCCGGTGATGATGGGGGATGATGCCCTCCCGGCCCTCCCCGCTTCCCATGCCATTCGCCGCGTTGGAGCTCCGTCGCTGTCTCCACCTTTGCGGACTTCGAGCCTCTTCCATAGCCCCGTCGAGCCGCACGCGGTGATGACAAACAAGCCGAGAAGTGGGTTGACAGGGATGAACTCATCGACGGTGGGAGCGCACTACTGCAAACAAGATTTTTCTAAACGGGCATTTTGATTTTTCCGTACGGTTGTCCGGCCCGCACGCAGCCCATCGTCTAGGAAAATAGGCATTTTCGCATGCGGGTGGTCCAATCGCATAGGATAATCGATTATCCGTGCGGTTGTGTTATACCACTCGCACGGAACAAAAAAGGCCAAAAATAATTAAAAAAAGCAAAAAATGCCGCCGGCCGCCAGATCGCTGCCTTGACCGCCGCACGCGAAGACCAGGAGGAGGACGACGAGCGGACGACGAAGCCTTGCCTCGCTGCTCGCCGCCGCCACGCCCGACCGCCGCCACCCGTCAGTGAAGAGGCGGCGTAGGTGGTTGCGGACGGTGACGGTGCGGCCCTCGGCGAGGATGTGGGGGAGGTAGGCGTTCTTGACGAGCGCGTGGTGGCGGTGGTGGAAGGTGGCGCCGCGGAAGTCGTCGGCGACAGCCTCGTGGTCGTCGACGGCGAGGGCCATGCGGTCGGCGCCCTCGGCGAGGTCTTGACGCCCGCCAAGCTGCTCGCCGCCCCTCGGCCCGGCCGCCGCCTCGCCCAGGTCGGCGCCGCACCCGACCGCCGCCTCGCCCAGCCGCCCCTCGGGCCGGCCGCTGCCTCGCCCAGGCCGCCGCCGCGCCGGACTGCCGCCTCGTCCCGGTGGCCGCCTCGCCCAGCCGCCGCCTCGTCCCGGTGGCCGCCGCCGCGCCCGGTCACCCCTCGGCCCGGCCGCCGCCGCGCCCTTCAGCCACCTCGCCCTGGCTGGTTGAGGGAGAAGAGATAAAAGAAGAGATAAGGTAGAGAGAGGGTTGAGGGAGAAGAGATAAAAGAATAAAAGAAGAGGGGAGTGGTTGGGAGGGAATAATGGGGAAAAGGAAAAGAGAGATAGAAAAAATTTGAAGTGGGTGGGAGGGAAAGGAGGGAAGAATATCCCGTGTGGTTGGATTAGGACGCCCACACAGAAAAATCGATTTTTCCGTGCAGGGGACACCCAGCGCCGCTCCCTCAATTTTTTCGTACGGTTCTACTTATGGACCACATGGAAACAAAGAGTCTAGGAAAATCAATCGCGTAGTAGTGGCGGCGCGTCGAGGCGTCAATGCCGACAGAGACGATGGCATCACAGGGGCCAAAGCCCTCGAAAAGCAGGCAGGATGGGTGACGGGGATGACAGGGAGGGCAGTGCTTATGTCTTAGTCGGCGAGATGACACCGGTGGCTGTCGGCGAACTCTTGAGGATGGAGGGAGAAAGCAGAAGAGCTAGGGGCATTTTCTTCTCGGATGGTATTTTGGCAAATAAGTTCTGGTTGAGAGTCTAACAAAGCCGAGTTTAGTGATGGTATTGCAGCGAATCCAATCTTATGCGATGGTAGATATAAAATTTTTGTCATACAATAAATTTTTCAGGGGATTTGGTTCGTGAAATAAAAAGTAGAAAATGGGTTAAATGTAAAAACTCTCGGTAGGTTAGACTCTCATGATTTGACCAGCAGTATATAAATTAACTCCTCCCTGACGAGTCTCCTCCGGCAGATAGATTTTCACTCAGTAATTAACTTGATCGCCGATAGAAGACAGTTACATCAAGGCAGTATGGCGGCAGAGATGATCAGCTCCGCTGTCGTGGGAGAAACGCTGAACAGGGTCGTGTCGAGGCTGGTCTCCGGCGGCAGCCACAACGACGACGGGATGAGGGGTAATAGCATGGAGAGGCTGGAGATGGCGCACAGCAGGATGGAAGCCGTCCTCGACCTCTCGACGCGGTGGCCGGTCACCGACGTGTCCCTGCTCCGGTGGCGACGCAGGCTGAAGCGCGCCACGGAGGAGTGCGACGGCGCGCTCCGGCGCCGGCGCCGCAAGCAGCGCGCCGTCGAGGACGAGGCGGCGGCGGTGAGCCGGTCCTCGTTCCCGCGACGCGTCGCCCACGCGGCTAGGTCGTACGTCGTCTCGGCGCTCATCGGCGGCTACGACTCGTCGTCGAGCTCAGACGTCCGGAGATTCGAGAGGGTCGCGGACGGAGCGAGCGAGTTCCTGAAGCTAGTCGAGCTTGGCGGGACAACACGGCCACGGCTTGCGTTCTTCGACGACCCTCTCATCGGCCGTATCATGGCCGGCGAGACGCTGAGGTACCTGGCTCTCCGGGGCAGCAGGTTATACTACGTGGGCGCGCGGCCGATGAGCTTCGAGGAGCGCGGGGTGGAAGCCATGGTGGGGTTCGTCGTGCAGGATTTTGAGGCGCCGTCGAGGAGTTTCAGCGTGGGGCTCATGATGCGCCTCTCCGAGAGTACCGACGTGCTTGGCACCATGATCGATTGTATGCAGTCAGTTGTCACGTCCCACTTCAGGTCAGCAATTCTTTAATCTTCTACTCCCTCCGTTAAAAAAAAAAGCCAAACCGTGGGTTCCCGTGTCAACGTTTGACTGTTCGTCTTATATGAAATTTTTTTATAATTAGTATTTTTATTGTTGTTAGATGATAAAACATGATTAATACTTTATGTGTGGCTTATCTTTTTAATTTTTTTCATAATTTTTTCAAATAAGACGGACGGTCAAACGTTGGACACGGAAACTAGGGTTTGTCTTTTTTTTTTTTGGGACGGAGGGAGTACATATCTTAACCGCCAGTTAATATTTTGTAACGTCATTTGCCCAACGTATTTACGGCGACAAACTTTTTCCCTAATGAATATAGTTAGATATGACTTATTTTAATATTTTTTTAAACAGTAAAATGGTAAATAAATTGCCTGTGCATATTTGAGTGGGCTTCTTTTCTAGTTGAATCAAAAGCAGTATTATCCAAGCTAAGTGAGGCCTCAGAAATAAAAGCATAGGCTTCTTTAATTATTTATTTATCTATTTTTTTATTGCTTAATTGAAAATTTTCAGGGTTGCAGCTGAAGAGGTAAGGAAAGAGCTCATTCAGCTGCCAACCCAGGATTTGACGTGGGTGGCACGCTCTCCTTACGGTCACAATAAATACTGGATCGACGTCCACACCACCCTCACCCAGTGGTATCGTCCAAACCCGCTCTGTTGTACCGAACACCAACACAGCCACCTGGACGACATGGGCACGTCGCCGTCGCCGGCGACGCCGCTGTCCACCACGTACCCGGAGCATGTCATCGCGCTGCAGCTGCAGTGCTACGTTCCGGCGCCGACAACTGATCAATCCCCTAATGACGACCATGGGCGTGAAGAACAGCTGCTGCCACCGCCCCTGAACATGAAGCTGAGCATGCTGTTCATCCCCCATGACACCCCGGATCCGGAGGAGGAGGACGACGACGGCGAGAAGCACGGCGGCTCATATGGTCACCACCACCAGAGCCGCGCTTTGGAGGTGATCGACGAGGAGGAGCGAGACGGCGGCGCGTGCCAGCTGCAAGACGTCGACGAGCGGCTGCTGCCCAGGGCGATGGATCGCCTGCGCAGGAACGCGGCGTCGAGGACGTACCAGGTGTGCCTGACGTCCGGCCACGGCGCCGCGCACATCTGCGTCGAGAAGACGTCGCCGTCGACGGCGAGTGCCAGCGGAAGAAGAAGAAGAAGAATAAGAAGGAGCAGTACAGGCGGGGCTGCCGCCGCCGCCAGATCGGCGGCGCGGTCGTCGGTTGGGACGCGCCAAGGCGAGACGGCGGAGAAGAGACGGGAGAGGTACAGTATAGAGGGGTGGCGTGAGTCGGCGAGACAGCTGCTTAAGCTGTGGGTGGTGCGCTCGTCGGAGAAGCTGCGTGGCTCCGTCAGCTCGTGGACTACTGAACACTACTACAAAAATACCCCTCAGTGTCAGTTCTTAAGTTCTAATAGGTATCGGTTTCAGGCCCAACACCTTTAGATCGGCACCAATGACTAGTTCCAGAACCGGCGCCTATAATATTATAGGTGACGATTCTATCATCAGAATCGACACCTATATGGTACTATAGGTGCCGGTTCCTTTAAATAACCGGCACCTATAAAGTGTAAAGGCTGACACTTGTACTCACCACATAGGTGTCGGTTCTTATAAAGAACCGGCACCTATAATAATAAGGGTTAAGTCCGATTTACCCCCTAAACTCTTGCGAAAGTACGCTGTACCCCCCTAAACTATAATACCAGACATAATACCCCCTTAAACTATTTAATCCGGACACTTAACCCACCCTCCCCCCCCCCCACGACCAATTTCGGCTGGTTTTACCGTTTGATCCGACGTGGCACATCCACGTGGCAAATGATGTGGCATTAACATAAAAATACCCCTCCCCTCCCCCACCCACACACTCTCTCTCCCTTTCTCCCGTGAAAAATTCCCCAACCCAAACCCCTAACAATAGCGGTGGAGGCGGAGCTTGGCGGCGCGGCGGCGTGGTGAACGGCGGCGCAGGCGAGGCTCTGCGGCGCGGCACGATGCTCGCACGGCAGCGCGGCGCTGCGCAGGCACGATGATCGCGCGGCTGCGCGGCACACACGCGGCTGTGCAGCAAACAGCGCTCGCACGGCGGCGAGGCGCACGCGCGGCAGCGCAGCGGCGCGGCGCTCGCATGGTGGAGCGGCACTTGCAGGGCGGTGTGCACACACGCGGCAGCGAGGCGCACTCGCAAAGCTTCGATCTGCACTTACGGATGCAAAGGTGCAGATGGAGGCCAACACTGCTAGGTACAAGGAACATATGGGAGTAATGGGGAAGCAAAAGGATACTGGAAATGCTAATCTAGTTAATACATTAGAGAATGAAAGATGTGTGGTTATGTATGCATTAGTAGCATGCGTATTTGTAATTCTGGGGTTATATGTTAAGCTGTGATCTTCCTATATATGCAGTGTACTAGCATGTAATCAGTACTGATATATGTCATGGAGGCTATCTGAACCAGCATGTTTCTCAATTTGTGATGGTCATGTTTTGTGCAATAAAGTTTGTGTGCAGTTAGTATAAATCAATCACAAAGGCTATTTGGAATAGCACAAGGCAGCATATGCTTCAGTGAACATTTTCAACCAGTGAATATTTTTCAACTTAATTAAATCACTTAGCCATAACTTTGGCATTACCACCAAAATAAGCATCACTAGCCAATAGCCATAAGTCTGGCTTTACAACCAAAAGAAACTTGTCATCAGAGTCACAAATCTGACATTACAACCAAAATATCTATATATGTCATCAGGCCACAGTCAGCCTCCTAACTTGAAGTAGGCCTCCTAACTTGAAGTTTTTTCCTTGGTGGTCCTTGAGTTGCTGCTGCTACTGTAATAGCATGGCCAGACTTAGGAGAATGCTACAAGAAGAGATGTGTTAGCAATCAAGAAAGCATAGGAGGCTATTTTAGTAGTAATTACATGGTAAAAACTTACAATCTTGTGTGCAACAGCAGGTTGAACTTGAACTAAGTGGTTTGTGGTAGATGCCCTTTTCTTCACTTTTGAGGAGCTCTTCTTGTTAATAGGCCTAGATTGTGCACTAGACGAAGCCTGAGCAGTGCCTGCATTTCTCTTGCACAAGTTGTCTTGTTGTGTCCAATTCCCTTGCATCTTCTACACCTAATGATAGTGCCCACTTTTGACACCCTGGTTGCTTTGGGTTTTTCATGTGGCTCCCTTCTCCTCTCCTTCTTTGGTCTACCTGGCATTTTAACATAGGGAGGTGCAGCAGGCTTGGGTCTCTTAGATACTGGCCAGCTATGAATGCCTTCCACTGGCTCAAGGCAATGTTCATATGTTGACATGAATGCTTTCACTGAGTAGCAGGAGGCAATATATTCATCAAGGCTATTGGTTTTGTAGTGGATGCAAGCAATAGCATGACAGCAAGGGAGCTCTGCTAACTGCCAATATCTACAAGAGCAAGTTCTGCTTTGAAGATTGACTGTGAACCTTTGTTCATGATGTTTCACTTCAAATTTGTCATTTCCATTTGAAATTGCATGGCAAAATCCATATTCTGTAACATAAGCATTGAGTTTCTTAAGTATGTTTGGACATATTGGTCCTATCCACTTCTCCATTTTGGTCCTATGCTCATGTATCCTAACCATGACTTTTCTTCTGATAGCTTCAAGCATACTGATTATAGGCAGAAACCTAGCCTCAACAATCCATTTGTTGAAGGATTCACACATATTGTTGTCAACCGAGTCACAATTTGATCCTAACTTGAACCATGCCCGGCTCCAGTGATGAGGATCGGTTTTCATGATAGCCTCGGCTCCTTCCCTTGTGCACTATGCTAGCTTTGCTTTTCCTAACATAAACAGAGGCCTACATGGAGCTTTGGCACACCTCCAAAATTTTTTTTGCCATTCCCTATTCTTGAACTTCTTCCTCCAATTGGCATAAATGTGCCTAGCACAATTTCTATGCTCAGCTTTAGGTATCCAGGTCTCAACAGCATTAATAATTCCCTTTTGTTGATCTGATATGACCACCCAACCATCACCATCACCAGCAACAAGATCTTTAAATAGCAAAGCACAAAACCAGTCCCATGAGTCATTGGTCTCTTTCTCCACTATTGCCCAAGCAATTGGGTACATCTGGTTATTTGCATCCCTCCCTAATGCACATAGTAACTCACCATTGGTTGATCCCTTGAAAAAGCAACCATCTAGTCCAACAACTCTTCTACAACCAGCAAGGAATCTTTTCTTACAAGCATTAAGGCATACGTAGATTCTATGGAACACAGGAGTTGGACTATCACTATCAAGAGTGACTACTACTATACTGCCTGGGTTACTTCTTAGTAGCTCAAGTTGGTAGTCAAATATCCTTGAATACTCACACCTTGTTGCATCATAAAGTTTCTTCAGAACATGTGCCTTTGCTCTCTTACACTGAGGAACGCTGGCATTTGCAAACATTTCTTCAGAAACAGTAGAAATCATATTCTTGATACTCCATGTTGGGTTATCTCTAATCATCTTCTCATACTTCTCTGCAATTCTTGTTGATGTTACCATTGGATTATCTTTCCTCTGAGGGCATGTGTGTCCATCAGTAAAGCTTGTGATTTGCCAACTATTGGTCCTACTTGTCTTTTTAAGAAGACAGACCCAAGGACACAATTTCCACTCACATTTTGCTCTGACTCTATCACCCTCATCCTTTACAAACTTCACATACCTTCTGTTGGCTAATGCATGTTTTATAACTGCATCCTTGAACTCTTTCTTACAATCAAATAGCTGGCCTAGAGTAAAAGTCGGAGTGCTGCTACTACTACCTCTGAACCTTGGATACTTACTCCTTTTAGTGATCAACTGACCATCACTGTCCTCTTCAAATGAATCATCTGCACTACTGTCATCATAAGGTGTTGCATTTCCATCATCCTCAATCTATACTAGTGCTTTCTCACTCCTCTGACTAGCTCTTTCTCCACAAAACACATCATCGAGATCAGCAACTTGACCATCCTTCAGCTTCTTCTAAAACTCCTTAAATGATTTCATGATCTCATTTGCTTCCTCATCCTCCTCTGAAGAGCAGCTGTCCCCACCTAAATAATCACTATCAGAATTAGAATCACTTTCAGCACTATAAGGAACCAACTGATCATTATGTGCTACCACTTGTGCCTCTTCCTTGTCCTTCTTAGCAAGATTATGGCATTGTCTCAGTGACTCAATTTGTCCCTGAGTCTTATCTGGTATTGATGTTACTATCATAACAGGCTTCTTCCCTTTAGTATCCACTTCAAAAATTTTAGCAGCCTCCTCATCTGAAGAAATTTCTTCAATTTCATCTTCAAAATCACTGTCATTATCACTTCCTACATCTTCTGCATCTGAACTGTCTTCTTGTGCAACTTGTGTCTCAACATATATATCTGCAACCTCTGCTTCACTAGTACAGTCTGACATCAGTTGGCAAACCTTGTCATCCAACAAAACACGAAGACCATCCTTCAGTTCTTTCATTGGGAACAACCAATGCAAAAGCATTGGTTCCTCAACTGCACAATGGTCCTTTAGATGACCCTTAACCTCTGGCAACGAAACTTTGTCACGGTCAATGCGTGGTATTGCTTCAGATCCACCACAGTAATGCTTTTGCCTACCATCGTATATGAACTCTCCATTATAGTGGAACTGTACAACCAAAAAGTTCTGAACATCCATCGCAAAGACTCTACAACCAGAAAAAGCAAACCACTAATAATCCATCCACAATTAAATACTCATAAATCGATAAAGTAAGCTCAACATCCCACTGGGCAGCCATAAACAAATCAACAAATGAGAGAATCATACGAGCATCCCAATCTCACTGTCCTAAATTGACAAATAAATAAGCAGCTCACAACTGAAGGCCGTGCCACGCCGCCGCATGAGCGCTGTTTGCTGCACAGTCGCGTGTGTGCCGCGCAGCCGTGCGAGAGTCGTGAGTGCGCAGCGCCGCGCTGCCGTGCGAGCGTCGTGCCGCGCTGTAGAGCCTCGCCTGCGCTGCCGTTCACCACGCCGCCGCGCCGCCAAGATCCGCCTCCACCGCTAGGGTTAGGGGTTTGGGTTGGGGAATTTTTCACGGAAGAAAGGGAGAGAGAGTGTGTGTGTGTGGGAGGGGAGGGGTATTTTTATGTTAATGCCACATCATTTGCCACGTGGATGTGCCACATCGGATCAAACGGGTAAAACCAGCCGAAATTGGTCGTGGGGGGTTAAGTGTTCGGATTAAATAGTTTAAGGGGGTATTATGTCTGGTATTATAGTTTAGGGGGGTACAACGTACTTTCGCAAGAGTTTAGGGGGGTAAATCGGACTTAACCCTAATAATAAAAGCCAAAGAAAAATAAATGGCGCAATAGAAATATATCCTGAAATACAAAAATGACACAATATTATATTTGCATCTTCCACATCCACATCCTCCACACAAATCATGGAATATTACATTCACATCTTGAACATCCACATCCTCCACATTTTTCAGATTTCAGATTACATCACAAAATAAATATGGGGCAGCTGTCCAACTGTCATTCAGCAAAAACATAACCTATTCTATGATTCTAAAAACTGCAATCAAAGTAATATCTTCTATCTATTATATACTAAAAGTCCATAAAACTTCCTATAAACGCTCTTAAACCGCCACGTGTCACTTCTACAAGCTTGGCCGCCATGTGGCATTCTACGATCCTACCATCGATTTTTATTTAAATTGGTGGACCCGCTATTTTACACCGTTGGATTAGATCTATTTAAGAAAGTTTATGCTTTCTATATCTAAGATAATCTGTTTACCAGAAATATTTACATACGTAAATGGAAATAGTTACGTTCGTTCGTTACGTTGGATGGAAAAAAACAAAGAACATACACGTACGATAAAAAAACTATAAAGACAAAAAAAAAAAGAACATACACGTACGATAAAAAAACTATAAAGACAAAAAAAAATACAGTTCACCTGGGATAAAACGAAGGCCAGGTACCATGTACACACGATTAAAACCTAAAGAAAAATATATGTACAATGTTATAACCATCGAAGCCTTTTTAAAATAGGATCTTCTATACGATAAAAATAAAATTTATTACTCTACAAATATGATCATTTGGTGTTTCTACCAGCACTCTTAGACCGCTACTTAACACTACGTAATTTCACCGTCGGTTTTTATTTAAATTAATGGACCCATTATTTTATACCATTACGTCCCATTATTTTATACCATTACGTTAGCCCACTTCCTCTTAATCTCGTATCTATACGAGAGAAACTTTTTACCAGATATTAGATTTAAAAAACCAAAGAAACATACGTACATACCAATATAAAAAAGCTATAAAGTCCAAAAAAAAAAACATATGTACGTTGGTACAACCATCGAACAATAATATAGACAATTGTTAAAATAGGATTTTCTATACTATAAAACAAAATTTATTACTCCAAAAATATGCAAGTTAAACAAGATCAATATAAATATCAAATCAAAGGTATTTAAACACCCATTTTTAAATTATTTTTAAATCATAAGCTCAAATTATAATCCGTTGCATTTAAATGTTGATGACTTATCATAGTTATATTACGAAGCTAAATACATTACAACACAATAGTAGAGCTGACATATAATAATTAATATAATAATAATTTTCAAATAATTTAGGCGACATATAATAATTAATTTCATCATAATCTTTGAAATTATTTCACCTCATATTTTTTGGTGTCAAATACCACTTGACAAAGATATAACACTAACTAAAATCTACATGCGTGAAAACGAAACAACGTTATGTTTTGTCAGTTATATATGATTTTATTTCAATTTATGGAGACTAATATTCTCAAATGTTTTTTTTTAGAATTTTCAGAACTATTTGATTGGTATTTCTAGGCATTGATCTTGCTATAATATGACCCCTTAATCCAAACGTTTTTCCATTTACCAAATTGGTTTGGTAACAAACGAACAACCATATAACACGTGCATTAAACTCATGATACTTTTTTTATAGTCGAGGAATTATAATATGTCAGGCATAATTGATAGTTGATAGTTGATGAATGTATGCTATAAGTGCACTCCAACAAATTAGTTGTTGTAATTAATTTTGGAAAATAAATATATTTTAAAATTAGTAAAGGTGTCTGATGAAAACAAAGCAGACGCTAAAATATAAATCTTTATCAAAATATAAACAATGATATAATGATATGATACTCTGAAGATGGTTACAGTCATATATCTGTTTAGCGATATATTTTTTAAAGATCAACCTCACTCATTTCAAAACTCATTTCAAAAGAGAATATTGCATCTATACCATAAAACTTTGGGTAGTACTAAGTAGTAGTACAAACAAATTATGTCTACACAAAATGTAAAACCAACTATTTTTTATTGGCAGAATTATTTTCTCATTACATCCATCTTTTCTTGCTTTCTATAAAGGGCATTGAGAAGCTTTTACAAGTATAGTAGGGGCATATATATGGTTTAGTTGAGGTAGGCCCAGTGGAGACCAGCGTTGACAATAGTGCTCAACTTTCTGCTTATTGATTGTTGATGCAATCATCTTTGAGAGTGCTGATAGTGAATTAAACCTTAAAATTGCACTAAATGATGGCCTTGAGAGGCACGAGGTATGTCCATACGAAACCCATGTTTAAAGACAATAGAGAAATAAAGATTTGGTACTTCCACCTCTTAAAAGGGGACATTCATGACTAATTTTTAATATTGATATTCCATTAACCAATAGAAGTAGCATTTTAGTGATGTATTAGGCTTATTTTGGTGCTACAGATTCAATTTTATTTATTAAAAAGGAATCTAGAGACAATAATAATAAATAATGGTGACAAAAGACGAGTTTACATAATCAGGACAAAAGTGATTTTTTTAATAAGAAACATTTTTATCGTTTATATTAAAGTATACAGTATATTGCACGACATAGATTTTTGTTATTATGATGTAAAATATACAATTTCTTCTATGCTTAGGGTGAGATATGACTTAATTCTCTTAACATTATTTTATAAACACAATGAATAAGATCCCCGCATATCTGCGCGGGCTTCCTTCCTAGTTGCTATTTGTAACAGGTCTACATTATGAAAAGAAAATTTCCAGATTTACTGCATTCAAGCATCCTTTCAGATTCATGGAATATACAGGTTCGTGGCATATACAGAAATGCACCATCAAGTTCAGATTTCAGATTGCATCAAGTTCTATATAGGCAATTTAAATCCATTCAGGGAGATAAGATACCTCAATTTTATCCATGGAATGAAGAATGTCTTGCTCGTCAAACAGGCATATCCTCCACGAACTGCATATCCATGGAACTTTGCTGACTTTGACATAATCGGAAAGGAGTAGCCTGTAGATGGCCTTTGTGGCATGGGTCATGAACACGCGCCCCTTGATGTCGTCTGCAAATTAATAAAACCAGAGCAACTTGAGGACACTGAAAAATGGCCGAATAGGTTACTCCGCGAA